ATGAGATACAATCATGAAATGTTTAGCACCACTGGATCAAGGCATTATCTAACGAATGGATGAGCTTTAAAGATTTCATCAAGTTGATAATATCTTAGTTTCAGAGGTTTTGTCAGAATCGGTGTTTCAACTCAATACATGGCGCTGCGATTAAGAATCTCTGTCCAATAATTTGGCAAAGGTTGCTCTATATTGTGGTGAAATTTCGTAAAGAACGGTTGCGTCCTCAGAGATATGAGAGTTTAAAGATTTACAATTTAAATGAAACACCCTGTAGAGGTATGACCTGACCCAACGTGAACATTGACGCTCCATTACAGAAACTACCAGGCAATGTTGAAGTGGAAATTTTTACTTAGAGTGCCGACATTCGCAACACTCACCCTACTCCTCCTCCCGATGTTCCGGTACGGGAGGAGGAAGCAGTAGGTCCCTTTGGTACTCATGAGTGCTGTTGAGGATGAGTACTCGTGTACTAGTCCATCCATCCTCGAGTTTTGAAATACGTAAAGGAATAGGAGATTCAATATATCAATTCATTTCAATGGTACTGATTGACTCTTTAAATACGCATGAGTGCCAGGGGAAAATTTACATAAATCTCACGTTAAATGAATGTAAACATGTTGTTTGGAATGCAATCACAGAGGTGACATTTCTGCAAATATGTTGACATTTTCTTGACAATGGTTTGCGTAAAAATGATATGAAATGGACAAAAAATGTACAGTCATTTTACGTAAAATTAACATAAACATGCTGCTCGGGTAGCAGGCCTCGAAATTGTCTCACGAATTTGCTCGAATTCTGCGATTGTTCAACGGAAGAGGGGGATGAGGGGAATCCTGTGGGCATCGTCCCTTTAAATTTCGCGAAAGCTTTTGATACCTTTCCTCACAAGAGTTTGCGGGTTAAACTGGAGGTCCACGGGATCCAGGGTAGGACGAGCGAGTGGATCAATAGCTGGTTGGCAGAAATACAGCAACGAGCGATGATAAATGCGGAAGCGTCGAAGGAGGTCGGAATTGCATGCGGTGTCCCTCAAGGCTCGGTCCTTGGACCGCTTCTGTTGAACAATCGCAGAATTCGAGCAAATTCGTGAGACAATTTCGAGGCCTGCTACCCGAGCAGCATGTTTATGTTAATTTATTGGACCGCTTCTGTTTTTGGTCTACATAAACGATTTGGATCTCGGCGTAGAGTGTAAGATAAGTAAATTTGCGGACGACACTAATATACGTTTTACTATAAGGGGGGAGGTGGATAGGGCAAGAGCCGTGCGAGATTTAAGTCTTTTGGATGAGTGGAGCAAGAAATAAATAATGAGGTTTACTAAAAGTAAGTGTAAAGTTCTCCACGTCAGTCCAAATAACGGTAGGTCTCTCGACACATTCAGCAAGGTTAAATTGGGTGAGGCAAACCGAGAGAGAGATTTAGGAGTTTCTACCAACGAGGACCTCAAGTTTTCCTCGCACGCGCAAGCGACGGTGGCCAATTGCCACAGGAATCAAGGTTACATTCGTCGTTCGGTTGCAAGTACGACATCGCGCGTTATTCTTCCATTGCATGGGCGCTGATAAGACCCCGGATGGAATATTCCATCCAGTTTTGGAGGTCTACAAATAAGGGATATTTCTGGGGCCCGAGGTGCTGCAGAGGAGGGCCAGAAGAATGATAAAGGAGGTTATAGGTCTTTCAGACGATAACAATTTAGAAGTGTTGTGACTGTATTCGCTCGAGTGTTGGTTAAGGAGGGGCAAATCTCATTCAGGATATCAAGATGATTAAAAAAAATATGTTATGTAGAATTTGGTAGGTTTTTCCAGTTTGATGGCGGCAAGAGAATGAGAGGCTACCAACTAAAGTTGCGCAAACAGCAGGTGTGGCTCATTTCGAGACGGGAATCTTTTTTTGGGCTGTAGAGTGGTGAACGCGTGGAATGCGTTAGATGCCGTTGTTGTAGCTGCCCCTTCGATGACTATCTTTAAGAAGAAATTGGATGCTTTCATGGACAGGGAAATAGTTGGGGGCGGGCAATGTTAACTTTAGGTTACTTAAGCAACTACGTTAGCAACTAGGATACGTAACAACAAAAAACGAAATGGACAAGTATTTAGCTTGAAGAGGAATAGGCCTACCCTAAAATTAAGGAGCGCTCGACGTGGACACGTGAGATCGAAGTGAGTGTAATCGCTTCCTGATATCACTATCTTGAAGCTTGAATCACAACTAAACAAATCCTTTCATTTGATTCGCCATCATAGGCTTTCTAAAAACTGCTAAAAGTGTGATTATAGTTTATCTGCATTAATACTCTTTTTGGCTGCGTTCTTTACAATACTCCTTTATTTCTGGTACTTTACAATATTCTTTTCGCACATTCAGCAGAGACAACACAATTCAGGAAGATGTGCAGCTGGAACCAATCCAATCTGGAGGAATGCAAAAGGTTTGTAGGTGGTCATGTGCTCTTGTAACCGAGCGAATTATCACTTTCGAGATATCTCGTTTCTCCATAGACAAAGGAGGAATATCTGCATAATTGTGAAAAATGCAAAGAGCTGGCTAAGCTGAAATCGGTGGGAAAATGTGATATGGATCCTCGAGAGAGCCAGAGAATGACGGTTCGTCTTGCTGGTTACCAGGAACTGCCGTTCATGAAAGGTGCAGAGAAGTATCAACTACAATACTATCCGGATGCGGAGATGGAGCCGTACTCATGGCCTGCTGGATATATTCTACGAGTCAAAGAGCAGGAGGAACTGTTTCAGAAATCGGAGAAAGCAGAACCAAGCAAGTTTTTTAATGATACCAAAATCCCATCAAACTTTACTGCAGTAGCCAAGGTGTTTGACTGCCTAAAGGAAGAATTAAAAGAATCCAAAATCCCAAGCTTCATCACTTATGACTATGATTTCGCCGCAACGTTCTACCGAGCTATGGGGAATAAAAGAAATGATCAGAAACTTTGGAAGAGAAAAGGTTTTGATTTGGTGCAGGGTGATCATGACGTTTGCGGGATTTTATTAGATAAAAACCGGGTAGTTGTACTCTTCCTTGAGGTCAAGAGCAGAAAAAGAACAGATAACGCCAAACACCCTCTCAATGAACTTGTAGGAAAAGCAGAGGATCAACTCAAAAAGAGTGAACGTGTTTTCAAACAGATCGTCGGTGCTACTGCATTTCCACGCCTTTTCCTTTGCAGTTTAATTGCTTTCCCATATCTGTCAAAACGTGATATTGCAGTTTCCTTGAGTTGTACTTGCAACTGTAGCATCCTTACATCGGATGATCTAGAATCTCGTACTTCCTTCAAGGAGTTTCTTATAAAAAATGAGGTTTATGTCACAAGGGATGGTGTGCAACACCCAGAAGCCAAGGCCTGTTATTTGGATGTGATGAGGACATATGTTGCAGCCTCTGCATCTGTGAAGGGAATGCCAAGAACAGAGAAAGATCTCCACGAAAGCATCGACGAACGAATGAAGAGAGCATTGATTCTTCTCACGCCTCATCAGAAGATGATCTTGCAGTATTCAGATCGTCGGGTCCTTTTTCTAGCAGGGGGGCAAGGTACTGGGAAGACCTATTTGCTTCTCGAAAGAGCCCAGCGACTGGCCGAAAGGGACGAAAAAGTGATAATTATCAATATGTCCGGGGGAGAGCTGAGTAGTTCCATTAAAAAGTGGCGGGAGTCCAATGAATTTAAACTGAACATGAAAGTCATGGATTCGACAGATTTTCCCGACAGCAATAAAAATGATTTGGAGTATTTCCTTGAAAAAATCAATGTCTATACAGATAGTCATATCCTGATTGATGAAATGCAGGTCATATTCGGCATAAGTCAAATGAGTCAAAAGAATCCGACTCAGATAGGGCTAGAGTGGAAAAAGTTTTCAGAGAGAACGAAATGCAAAAGTGTTTGGATCGTCTGGCGTGCCAGCGACGCTGAATACCGCGAGACTCTTGATATACATGGAGTAATCGGTTCCTTGGGAGGAGACAAAGTAGAACGCCTGACCGAGATAAAACGAAATACACAGCCACTGGGAGAGTTCGTGGTAGAAGTGACTCAATTTATTCAAAAGAGGTTTCCATGCGAGAGATACCTCCCCATGCAAGGCTTGGAATATGGATGGGGTAATAAGGAGGATCCAGGCGGGGAAAATCGAATACCCCTTGTTGTTGTCATTCCTACTGACTCGGAAGAATATTGTGCATACGAATTCGCATCGTCCGCTGTTGCCGAGATCCAATCCTCACTAAAGAACTCCCAACTTGTCGCCATTATAACAAGAAAGGACTGGGAAAGGAATATCCTAGTACGAGAACTCAGAGACCGCTTCGCACAAAATGTAGCCTTCCTTGATTTAGAAGGAAAACTCCGTGGAGACCCCAATCCAAAATTCTTGGCATTCCATGAACATCAAGTGACTGGGGTATCATTCCAGGATCTTATTCTCTTGGATGATGGAAAGATATTCTATAACTCTTGGTCCCGTGTGGTTGGAATGGCCCAACAATCCCTCCACGTCGTCACAACAGATCCATTTCCGACTAGCCACTGGGAAGAACCTGAACATCAGGGCCTCATCTCGCATGACATTCTAAGAAAGCCGTATCAACGATCTAAGCGAGAATTGGGTAATCAACTAGATGAAACTCATTTTCCGACGATCAGCCAGAACACTCTCATTTCCTTTAAATCAGATGATTCACGTTCATCAGTTGATACATCCGAGGGAAAAAATATTGAAATTCTCTTCGGAATGAATCCTTTAGAAGTTATCATAAAGAAATTGAAGAGGAAAGCAGACTTGGAGTCTGACTTGCAGAATGCACCGAAGCCAAAACGATTCCCGAAGAAACGCTTTCCGAAGAATAGACCCAAGACAAGGCTCACATTCGTCGACTGCAGCAGATGGAACAAGGAAATATATCCAAAAAGTTACACGCTGGTGTATGTTAAAGCGTTTATGGAGGAAATAGGTTTGAACACAGAAGATGCGAAAGACATCCACGACCTCCTTCAACATCATGGACTGGAGACCCATAAATCTCCAGATCCCCGAGTGATTGAAGCACTCCTGGGGAAGATGCTGAAAAAACAGAAGGAAAAGAAGCGCAAACTCCATGTAGCATTTGCAAATGCCCCTATACATCCCATTGGAGCTGGACAAGGAGACACAGATGGGTTGAGGAAAGAATGGGAATCTATTATTGGATCCCTCTTGTCCCATGATTCTCTTGGTTCTCTTATCATCGCCTTTCAACCATTCGTTGAATATGCCACGACCACATTCGATGTGCAAAAGTTCAAGGAGGCATTTCAGCTCACTCCAGAAAAAGGTAAGAAGTATGTATTTTTAGATCATTAAAAGCGATGTGAGCAGAAGGTTTTCCGAGAGTTCAACATGACATATTGGGAAAAATGTTAGGACCTTAGAAAATTGCATTTCGTCGTGCGTGTGTGGTTGTGCTTCTGTTAGCACAATCGCATATAACCCACTACATATAGAGAGACATTCACTATAAAAACAAAAGTTTTTCCGAGTTTCCCATGATAGCATTGCATCCAACGTTGTGCAAGTGTTCCCAATAAATTCTTTAGCTATTCAAAGTAGACCTTCGCATAATCTTTCTGGGAACAAAATGCGCCCTCTTTACCGCATAGCGATTTTTATTGGCTGACGCATGAAACCGCTCAGGGAAATTTCATTCAAATCAATGCATAAAATATCACTACCAGGTGTGGCACATAGGTAACCTCCCCTGCAAACCTCAACTATAGGAGCTTGGAAAACATGTCAACTATATTCGTAATATTTGTTCAATTTTGAATCTATTCTATCCCATTTTATGCTTTTTTGGATGTCAAATGATGAAGAAGAATTTAAATTCATTGCTCGCATCGTGCTATTGCGTTTCGAACTCATGATGCTGGAGCTGAATTCATTATCCGTTCATGGGTTCATGGGTTTTGAAAAAGATTGAACATTCAGCTTCTGTCTGATCAAGTCTTATTTTTCAAAGCTTTAATCACATGTCAATTGCTGAAAGACTCAGGGATTGATTTTTGTTGGAAATGCGGAATGGCTAGGAAACTCTCCTGATCTGAATGTGGTTGAGAAAATTGGAGTTATCCTGAAGGACTGAGTTTAGGCTCATGCATATGGAGGGCAAGCAGCAGGGATTATTCCAGGAAGCCTTGCAAAGCGACATCACCAGAGTGTTGAAAGACGTGGTAGACGATATGGAATTCTTTAGGTGCCTCTTTTCATCATACCCCGCTTTTATTAAAGCTCTCGGAGACAGAGCCAGGGTGTACAAGAAATATGAAAAGTATATGTTTAGATTCGAAAATGAATGCTCTTTCTCATTATATATGACTTTTTCTACTAGCTCTTATAGTTAACGTTGTGGAAGCAGTGGCAATCTATGTGCAACACCCGGTACATTTTGACATATCCAAGTGTACATTTGGCTTGCATCTATTGACATCCTAGACCTTTTGGATTGAGCTTATAAACATTCTGTCGCGTTAGTTAAGGTGTATACAATGACGCCAATGTCGACACTGAATGAAAATTGACTCGCTATTTGCATGGCCTAAAATACTTGCAAGACTTCAAGAAAGCTACGAGTATATTAGCTTCAACCGCACCACAGCGTTCTCGTTCCACCATTCAATGCAAAAAATCCCAAACCGGAATAATTTTATCCATTTCGCCTTTAAGAAATGAGCGACCACCCCATCGAGATGGGGAAACGAGCATCATACTTGCAATGGTATCTAGTTTTCTTCCTTCATTTTGACCATCGAAAACGTCAAAGCCATCCAGCTTTTGCGAAGAGCTGGATGATTAGGGTAACAGTGTCTGCTGCCATTTTCCCCATCGTAATATATTCGAGTTTCAGCGAAGTCGTTTGCTCCAAATAAAGAAGATACAGGTCGAGGGTAACTGCTTCTCTAGCCAATCACGCTTTCCGCTACAGCATTCCTGAAAGTAATTTATGTGTTCTGGACGATATTCGGCATGAGCTGTTTGAATTTCTGCAAAGAGAACGTATGAAAGAAATGAACTCTCCCCTATTATCGAATGATTATTCGTTAAAGTTTCGTTCAGACCAGCAAAAATAATGTCAGATAAGCAATCGATATTGGAAGGCTACCCGGTGTGGGATTGAGGTCAACGTTTTTGTCTGAAGCTATGCCCGAAACAATTCAGTGTCATGCAATTGTCAGGTATTTCACTCCACTGCAAAACCATCAATGAGTGGTACCTCAGAAGTGATACAATTTGGTCTGGAAATTGATTATTAAAAGAAAATTTACGATCCTGGTGAGACAGAGCAGAAACGTCCGGATGTCAAAGATAAAATGACAGCCTAATGTTTGGGTGTAGGCATAACTCATCCCTAGGGTAGGCTTTCCTATAGAGTAGGACCCATTCCAGATAGTGGGAAAAATTGAGCCTCAATGAACTGAGGGTTGGCAAGGTTGGCTGAATGTGAAGCTGTCCCAGTGGGACGTTCATCCAACATTGGCAGAAAGTGGGCATGCTATGTATGATGCAAATGTGCTTTCTGAATTTAGTCAACGTTGGTTAAAAGTCGGCGAAGAGTGGATGTGCACTGTCCATCTATTTATCTATACTATATTAGAATACGCGGAGAAGATTTTTGGTAGATGTATCCTCCGGCCTGTAAGGCTTTTTCCCTTCAAGGACATAGGCTAGGTAGCCCCTAGGCCTATATGCCTTTCCTTTTCCGGATCATAAGCTTGGTAGTCGATAAACCTTTGGACCTTTCCCTTCCCATGTCATAAGCTAGGTGCGTTTCGTGATTCGTCCATGCAATTGATATTGCCTATAAGCCTGTGCCTTTGCCGGATCTAAGTTGGTTGGGGTGTGCTAAACAGCTTAACAATATGTGATGTGATGCGCTCGCGTAAGAGAAGCTGTTAGGCTGCGTAGGTCTAAACTGGCCCACAGTATCGCCAAAAATTTTGAGGCAGGTTGCAAAAATGATCCTTTTTCAAGAAAAACACCAAAAATATTAAACGCTCTTTTTTCAAATGGAATGTAAATGATTTATTGTTGTTTTTATTTGTCAAGACTATTCTTTCCTTTGTTGTTATTCAATGTATTTCCAAATTATTCGTGATGTCATGCAGGGACACGTTTTGCGTTCCATTTCTAGCTTCAATTTAAAGTGTATTAACGTTAAAAGTTACATTTTGAAAAGGTATAATCTAGTAAATATTATATTTAAATAATTTTGTTATAATTACTACATTTTTTACTTTTTGGAACAGTTATGCTACCAATGATCTTGCAAAGTATTGATATATTCGGAGACAGATTTAATTTTCCATGTTTCAATTTTTTCAAGTCTCGAATATGGGAAACATATTTAATGTTTCCCATATTACCCCTATATTGGTTTCCCATATTACCCCATGTTTCCCCTAACCGTTACAGAAAGAGAAAGAATCTTCATTTATTCAGAGGGAGGATATTCGAAAGTTCAGATTGCAGCAAGTATTAACATTTTCCGTTGCTGCATACAAATATGTTTGTGGCGCTTCAAGAGATTTTCTACTCATGAGATCCAAAAACGAACCGGCAGGTAGAAAAAAAACAACGAAACGCCAATATATTGAAATTAGGAAAATTTCTTTATCATATAGAAGAATGACGGCTTTCAAAAACACGTCCTTATACAATCGATTCAATAGTGTTCTCATCAGTACTTCTACGGTGAAAAACTGTTTCAAGGAGTTCGGACTACATGGGCATGTAGCTGCATAAAAACCACTGCTCCGTCTAGTTAGTAAGAAGAAAAGACTGAATTGAGCTCTCCAGCATAAGGATTTCACATTCGTCATGTGAAAACGAGTGGCCTGGACTGATGAGTCCAAATTCGAAATCTTTAGCAGCAAACCTCGAGGTTTTGCGCACAGAGAGTGAACAATTTGCCGAACAGTGCTTGTTGCCCACCGTCAGCCATGGAGATGGTTCAATAATCGTTTGGCGTTGCTTTGGTGGTGATCAAATTGGAAGCTTTCATCGCATCGGGGGAATCATGACCAAAGAAGCGTACAGGGACTTTCGGATCGGCAAGTATTTCCCTCTGGCACAAAGCTGTTCAGAGACCAATACGCGATTATGCATGACAACGATCCCAAACACAGTAGCAAGATCTATTAGAGCTATTTGGAAGAGTTGAAGCGCCGGAAAATCATAAAAATAATGCACTGTCCACCAAAATCGCTCGATCTGAATCCAATTGAATTGTTGTGGGAAGAACTGATCGCAGAGAGCGAGAAAGACAAACGTCATCCACCGAAAATCTCTGGGACATTCTGCAACTATGTTGGAACGGCCTTCCATCTGCTACACTAGAAAAATCGATCAAAAGAATGCCCAGAATCTGTGCTGCCGCCATACAAATCGTGGTGGTTATTTCAATTTAAGTAAAATTTGAATTTAAAATAATAAAAAATGTATTTTTTTGGCACAAATATGTATTTTCATAACGTAAACTAAGTATAATTATATTTTTCAGATAAAAACGTTCGATTTTTTTTCATATTTCTTATGCGAAAATTTCCCACCTGCCCCAAACTTTCTGGCGGTACTGTATGAGCCAATATAATATATTAATGCCGAGAGGAGAGGTGCATTAATTGCAGAGCAATATCAGGCTGTTAACGCTGCGCGGTGAGCAGCCCGTGTACGCGGCGAGCCGTTAACTCTACTCGAGTTGCCTTGACCAGGACCCTCGACGTCATTCCAGCCGTTTCGCATGATCGCGACCCTTGGCATATTGAATGCTTTGTTGGGCACTACATGGCATTTCCTTTCGAAATGGAGAAACAAACTTCGGCAAAGTTGTTGTCATGATCATGTTACGGTGTTCCATTCGAACCCATTGGAGTTTCCAATGATGAAAACGCTCGCAATTTTCGCGAGTTTAATGGACAGGACAGCACCACAAACGCGTCCACTTACTTTTGGTGCAAAAGTTGTTGACATTATCGATAATGTTCCTTACTGCTTCTAAAAATCCGGTGAAGTCTACTGGGTGATCCATATGACCTCATCGTGGGTTTACCATTATATTACAGATAATAAATTGAACGAGATGTTTGGGCAACGACATAGGGTCTGCGATGCCGATGTGAGATGCAAATTCACTCATTCTATGTCCCAGGAATAAGCACTCCAGTTTGGTCAATGGGGACGTGTCGTTTCAATTGGAAGGCGAATTGTGGTCACATCACAGTATCAAAATTGTGAAGAACGATCATGGTGGTGATGACACCGATTCGGCAGGCCACCGATTCCGTTTGAATTCTTCAATAATCTTAATACTCAGGGTCTTTTTCCGCACGCCCTAATCCTAAAAATGCGATATATCCTGATGCGTGTACGGAATAGGTATTATTGGGAACAACCTTTGAAACGGGACGCCTATGATCGTGAGTGACCTGACTGCAAATGTCTCAATACTAGGGGAGTTTAAAAGGGGGGAATGGCTGTTACTTTTAGTCTAAGAAAGGGTACGAAAAGTCCCCATTTCATTCGAACACTCATAGTAGTTGAAGTGATGACGGGTGCGCTTCGTGGCTGTGTTCACTTGTGGCCTGGAGTTTTACGGGACGCGTCATCAGAAGTCACCATACCGTTCCCTCTTTGCCAACGTCAATTCCCAATCGAGCTTTCCTACGGTGCGACTATGAACAAATTTCAGGGACAGATATTTTATCAAGTCGGATTACTTCTTACGGAGCTAGTATCCATTCTTGGCATTTATATGTTGCCTGCTCGCGAGTTCTGTCAGAGTATTCATAGAAGATTCAGGTTATCGATGGACCAAACCAGGGAAAAACTGATGCCACCGTTAACGACGATGTGTTCCTTAAAGAAGCACTTCTTTTGTTTGTCAAGTCCGTTCGTCGGGACTATTTTTGTACATTATGTTAACTTTCCGTTTCGTTCCCACGCGTTCCCCGTTTCCTGATATTTCATGGTTCCTTCGATTTTTATTTACTTTACTCACGTTGAACTAATTTTGGTTGTAATTTCCGCATAGTGCCAGATGTAACACGTATCAAAGTTTGGCAGCAGGAACCAGGCTGAGACTTGTCTTAGTTGATGAGCTGCGACAAAAAAGTGTATGCACGGGTAGAAGGCCGCCAGTATGCATGCGATCTGTTAATATTGTTAAAACGTTTTTAGGAGAGTAGATATGCAATGTTGGAGGGAAAATCTGGCGTCATGTCCATCACCACCTCCTACATTCAAGTAAGACCCAATGACGGTCCATTTCAGCAAATGGAGAACCATCATGTCTCCTCATCTCTTAAGAATGAAAAAGAATGACCTAAAATAATCGTACTGGAAGGCTGTGAGTGCTCATTTTTTAGAGGTAGAAATCTTTCCGGAAAAACTGAAGAGAGTACAGGAGGTACTGAAGCTGAAAAATTATTTTCGCTCCGATGATGTAAGAAGGAACAGTCATCAAAGATATCCAATGATATGTCACTATGATTAAAAACATCTGTCCACAAAGGAGTAATCACAAATGCTCTTTGTGAAGTAAGTTATGAAAAACATATGTATACATAGGCTATTAGGATCGTCATACCTACCGGAACACTTTTGCGCTGAGACACCTGGACTGAGGGTGAACCGGAACGTTAGGAACAGAAATTGAAAAAAGTGTGAGTAATAAAGTAGTGCCTCGAAATATAGTTTCACGACAGCTCTAATTCAATATGTGATGGTCGGACGTCGAATTCACACCAAGTAATTCCGCCAGATCAATTTATTTTCCTTCGGTGTGTTAATTCCCTTAAGTTTCATCTTTCGCGATATAACGATTTTGCACGAGTTCACCGTGTCACAGGTTCGCTTCCCCACCCTGTCCACCTACACAGCATGCCCTCCATTTCGTTCCACCCCAAAAACGCATTTCTGCGCAGAAGAGAGGGGTTTCTCCGACTCCCCTTGGATGCCAAAGTCCGGATGTTTGGCGGGTAGCTTTCAAATGGAACTGGCTCTTTGGTTTTAGTGCTGTAAGATAAATGACTGCAGTCATGAGCTCCATAAAAATTGCATAGTTCATAGAATGAAAAAGTACGGTCAATTGAAAGGTTCATTGACCCTGTTAATTGACTTCCCCATCCCTATCAGTTGGGAAACGCAACTAATAACCAAATTCTGGAGTTTGGAGACAATTTTAATTCTCATGGATGTTTCCGGATTTTGGGGGATTTATGGCTCTGAGGAAAGATGAGGTGTAAGCTTGCGTGGGTATGTGCGTGTGTGCTGTAGTAAAATATATTACAGAATTTGACATGCAATTTCTATCACTCCTATTTGCCTAGACGTTGTCCCTATCTAGTAAGTTATGAAAAAGCCATTACTAAATTCTTCTGTCATTTTTCTGTGCATTAGGGGTGAGTATTATCGTGAATGAAGTTTGTGGGGATGTGGGGTTCCCCCACCTCCTACGTCACGTTCGCCAGTACGAATCACCTCGTGAGCTAAAGGTGAAGTACGGAACCCTCAACACGAGGTCCCAGCCCTCCTCCCTTGTGCTTGGGGTAAAACCTGAATTCATCATACCTCCTCTCGAGGCTCACTGCCATGGCAGATTCCAATGCATTGGTGGTCGAGGATGCGTTGCCATTACTGCTGTTGCGTCCCTTGCCTCCAAACCGCTTGTACGTTCTTGTCTTCTTCCTTTCTTCCATTTCTTGAAACTTCAGCCCCAACAAGCCTTCCAAACCCAAAAAGTGAAGTAAAATATTGAATATACTTCTCATCAACGATGTCTTTAGGTATCGTTATGAATAGAACCTATAATGATCACTTCCGTCAGAACGTCTTACCCATACCTTGGGTAAGGGCAGCTTGCAAACCTGCCGATGGTCGATGGCGCCGATAGATCGGCAACCACATGCGGACGATACCTTGTGGTTGCCGATACGTCAGAACTCCCTCACTTGAAGGTGGATATGATCCGAAAAAGTTGGGTCACCATCTTAATTTATTTCACTATAAGTAATGGAAGGATTTTCGTATGCATCTGACATTTGACAGATGGGATCATAGGCCTATTATGTTTTTTTTTCATTGCTGCACCACAGCATGGCACGTAGATAAAGGGTGCTGCAGTCGACTACAGCACGCTCTATCGACATGCAGTGCCATCTCACAGTATAGGAAAAACCTCAGCCTCATGAGCCTCCTTCCAATATATGTTGCATCCGATTGTACTCTGAAAAATTGTGTTCGAGCAAAAGAGGATGAAAATGTAATAATAACGTCATGGAAAGAGTTTCTTAAGATATCCCTGTAAAAGAGAAAACTAAACGTTTTTAAAGCCCGTGTATGTAAAGGAAAAACCTTCGTAAGGATTAAAACACCCTATACCAGAGTCCACCGATGCTGATGGTTCCTACTCCAAATCTAGGAAAAAATATGAGCAATAGTGATTTGGCGAAAGCCTTCGTATATACGAGGGTGTTTACAAAGTTCTGAGAATTTGCGTGCAATTTTTTACTTGGCTAATTTTATTCGATATTACAGTGCAATTTCTCAACATAATCACCATTTAGCTGTATACACTTGTGCCAGCGAGTAAGTAATTCCACCAAAGTTCTATTCACTCATTCATCACTGCTTTAGCTTCACATAGAGACTCATAATGGATTCCTCGAAGAGGTTTCTTCATTTCCCCAACCAGATGATAGTCTCTGGGAGCCAGGCCTGGAGAATAAGACAGGTGTGGCAGCAATTCCCAGCGCAGATCTGACAAAAAGGCTTTCGTAAGACGACTAGTGTGCGGCCTCGCATCGTCTTGCTGCAGTAATGGTCGGGAGCGGAATTTTCCTGGCCGTTTTTTCTTAAGTGTCTCACGCAGTGGTCCCTTCTGCAAATCAGAGTAATATTGTGCATTTATTGCAGAACCTTTTTGTTGATAATCGATTATGATTATTCCCTGCCCTTACGAAAATGTCCTATAGGAAACCTATAGTTATTTCTTATAGGAAACCTATAGACTTTCCTATAGGTTTGTGAAACACGAAAAACCTATAGGGTCTTATAGGTCTTCTGACCAATAGGATTCGGGGAGGATATTTTGGGTTTCGAAAACCAGGCATTACGACGGAAAAGGCGACAGGGGATAATATTCGCGCAGCATTTCGGTGTAAATCAAATAATCGATTAGGGGTTTTTCCATGGTAGGGACACATCCATTATTAATACCAATACTGCGGAGGTCTGCATAATTTATGGCCCCGCCCCACGTGTGTCGCTGGATTGCACATCTACTTCCTTCGGTAGAGAGAAGTGGCATTCTTCGCTCAACATGAGGAAATAGACGACAGAACCTGCGAGCACGTCTCTTTACTGAAACTCCATGTGGATAGAGTCTACTTAGTTTCGTACGTGATCATCAGAGAAGGTGTCGAGGTCGGGGGAAGATGAATGATGGCTCCGAAGAAGGAAGCGTCTACGATCCATTTCGCACCAGAGATCCATCCGGTTTTTGGCTGCGAGGTGAGTTCCTCCGTCCACAATGATTAGGGTCTGAATGGCCCGGGAGATCCCTTCCACTACCCACTCGTCATCAACTCCCACGCACATCACTTGTGAGCTCTCACAGCCTCGGAAATTTTTTGGATGATGGATCCTTTGGATGGTGGTGGGTCTTCCTCTTACCATTGACTCATTCGCCTCTCTTATAATTTCGAGAGCCTTGATGAATATCCCCCGGATCTCGTCATCGGAGATGAGCACCACGACGTCGACCTTCGAAGCAGGATGATATAATGACTTAATCAAAATATGAATACCACATGAATACCTGTTCGTTNTAGGATTCCTATATATTCCTAAAGGAATATATAGGAATCCTATAAGACATTTTCGTAAGGGAAGCCATAATGCAAAAGTATGTATTTCTAATTTTTCATCGATTGTGGTTGCGGGTTCTGGTCAGGGAACGAACAGGTATTCATGTGGTATTCATATTTTGATTAAGTCATTATATCATCCTGCTTCGAAGGTCGACGTCGTGGTGCTCATCTCCGATGACGAGATCCGGGGGATATTCATCAAGGCTCTCGAAATTATAAGAGAGGCGAATGAGTCAATGGTAAGAGGAAGACCCACCACCATCCAAAGGATCCATCATCCAAAAAATTTCCGAGGCTGTGAGAGCTCACAAGTGATGTGCGTGGGAGTTGATGACGAGTGGGTAGTGGAAGGGATCTCCCGGGCCATTCAGACCCTAATCATTGTGGACGGAGGAACTCACCTCGCAGCCAAAAACCGGATGGATCTCTGGTGCGAAATGGATCGTAGACGCTTCCTTCTTCGGAGCCATCATTCATCTTCCCCCGACCTCGACACCTTCTCTGATGATCACTGGAAGGCATTAAATCAAATAAGCTATTTTCTGAATATATAAAATTGCTACTTGGAGGCCTCGGGTTTGCGTCAATCCTCTTCCTACGACGTTTGTAGAATGTGTAATTGCTGCTCTGTCACAACCTTCATTTCTCTTGTAAATAAAACCTCAAATGAACCTCAAATATTCGTCATTTCAATGCAGTTCCAGTTTTCGACAGTCGATCTGTATCGGCTAAATGTCACAGGGATATAGTACTCTACACTATGCGCAACCACTCAAATCACCCATCTAGTTTCGGCAATGACACATTCCGGTTTGGCAGACGCCTTTCAGGCCACCCGGCATGGTCGGGGAGTGATGGATGTGAATCAAAGTTCCAGTTGATGCCTTTATCTCTTGAAATAAAATTGAAAAACGAAATTTGACGGAAGGGTATCGTTTCGATTTACCGATTCCTCTGAGTGTATAAAGAGATTTATTGAGTCTGCTGAAATTGGCGCATGATTTCAGTGCCAACTGTTTGCTCACGAATCGATTCGTCATTTTATTATATTGGAATTTGGATCATCGCTGTGCAGCCGAAATCGCTCGCTGTGCGAGGATCCCCGCCTACTACCTGGTATAATATGGCCAATATCCAAGAGCGAGGCACCGTGGAGTATCGGATTGGTAACTGAGCTCGTTGATGCCCGAGGACAATATTTCGATTGGTCATGGGACTCGAAGTAACATCGAGACGACGACGGATTACATTTTCAGGGCGTTGCCCTTACGAAAAAGTCCTATAGGAAACCTATAGACTTATATTGTTCTTGAAGCACGAAAAACCAATAGGATCCCTATAGGGTCTCAAAGGACTCCTAACCTAAGGGATTTGGTGAGGCTTTTTCGTCTTAGAAACCGTGGCATTGCAGCAGGGATTACTGCTACATGAGTTGACCACGGGGTCGATATTCGCACTGCTTTTTGCTCTAAATTCATTACCGAGCATGGGTTTTCCCATGGTGGGAGCACCTTCAATACAAGTACTGCCAAACACCAGCATCACTCTCAGTGCATGCCCTCTGCTGAAATTCCTTTCGGATGAGATTAATCTTCTTTTTTTTTAATACGAGCCATTGGGGGACTGGTACCTATCCCCGATTCTGGGTACACCAGGGGTCCCATCAGTCCCAAAAAAAAATATTTGAAAACATCTCCCTTTGAAATCTTTGCCCCCGGGGCATTTACTTCCAAAGTCTGTATTTTTCTACGCGCAGCATCCAAGGTTCCATATACCAAGGTTCATCTTTCCACACCAACTCAATAAGCCATGGGAAAAAAATTTTACGAAAACGTCGGCCCCTAAATACATGCCCCCCCCCCCAGGGTATGGATCTTAAATTTTTCATTTATCCTGAACTCATCGTCTCGGTAGGCATGTCCATGGCAAGTTTCAGCTTCCCATGTCTCTCCGCTTTACTAAAGCAAAAATTTTGTTATGGATGGGGAGTGAGTAACGCGACTTGGAAGGCAAAAGGCCTAGTCCTTCTTTCGGCCTGTAAGGACAAGGAACGGCCTGGAATTAAACCCGGGCCTGCTGATTGCCGCTCAGGTGTGCTACCACTACACCACCGAACCCGAGACATCCTCTTAACCCTCTCGATGCCATCCTAATCCGTCACAACATATATATCTTTAAAAACTTCTCCCCCTAAAATGTGTACCCCCAGGGCATGTACCTTCAAAGTCGGTTTCTTTCTGAACTCTGCATCCCAAAAGGTACATGTGTCCCAAGCTTCAGTTTTCTAACTTCTCTAGAACAAGGTTAGAATTAGCGTCAGTCAGTCAGTTTGTCCCTATCGTCTATATATTGAATATATTAGATGCGAGCCCCTACGAACACCGTTTCACTCTATCTGAATGGAGTATTTCAACGTGGGAAGTATTTGTGGGATTAATCCTCCGTTTACTCATCTTGAGAACGTAATGAGGAAAAGAGCGACATAGATTTCTCATAAGAAATCTACAGACTTTCCAATAGGTTTTAGAACCACGAAAAACCTGTACAGGGTGACTCAAAAGTCCCTGGACACCTTTAATCAACTGCAGCATTCTCTGATGTAAACCAATTTAATTTTTGATTTAACCAGTGTAAAGATCACACAAAACTAAGCCAGCCATGTTTTTATGTTTAAAAACTATCACCATTTGAGGCAATAACCTTCTTTAAACTTTTTGGGAAATCATTTACGGCTCTTCACTACTGATCAATCGACAATTCATTCCATTCCTTCAGCAGATCAAGCTTCAAGCTATTGATACTTTTGTGTGGCTTGCAGCAGACCTTGGCTTGCAAGTAGGACCACACACTGTAATCCAATGGATTCAAATCAGGACGAC